TGTGTATTATCAATTTATAACAAAGCAATTACCTATTATAGAAATTTATGAAAAACAATGATTGAATGATTTACTATGCAAGTGATAATAAACTACTTATTTTACTAGTGAAATTGGTTTTTAGAATATGTTCACTTCGGGTGTTACTTTTAATACAAATGTATTCGTATTTATTAATTTAACTTATTGTCGCCAAAATTGTTAAGTTCAATAATTATTACTTTTGCTTATATCACACTAACACCAGTTTTGTATAAAATAAATAAAATAGTGTTGATGATTTCAATATAGCATTTTGTTTTTGTTGTCTACTGGCTTTTATAAAATGTCATCATATTTCTTTTGGTTTTTCCAAACCGTTATCGATTGTTAAAACTTAACGGTAATTAACATATATTTTATTTTATTACTAACTTTAATTATTGCAAATAAATTGATGGAAACGTTGACTGGTCAATAACCAGCTTTAAATAATTACTTTAATGTCATTAAAATGTACACATGTGAGTCATAACGAGATAAAGGGTGTAGTATTTTCTTTTAAATTCATTATTCAACTGTAATTTACGGTGTACCTTAACTTTTAAACGCTAATGACGCTAAACGTAGTAATTAAAAACTGGTTTGTTGTCCAGTTAAAATCAATTAAAAGTAAATTATTCTTCATTTTTCGAGTTAACAAAATATTTACGCTCCCATTTAATTTTCAAAAGTTGATTGCGCTCTGAAAAATTTGTTATATTGTAAAATAACGTACGAGCAAAAACGTTTAAAAAAAAAAAAATTTATTTTTCTTAAAAATTAAAGACTCCTTGTAAATTTATCACCAAGTTGATATAACTTCAATGGTTTAAAGTGAATTTCATACATATACGGGAAAATAATTTAGTTACAGTAAAATATAGTTTAAACATATTTTAGTTAGAACTTAATATTAAAAATGTATACTATTTTAGTTGAGATTTCACTAATACTATCATTTCATATTAAAATGATGGTTTTTGAACAGGTATTTGCCAATGTATTTATTACATGCTAAATCCACCAATTTTTTAGTACATACTTTGAATGTTTATAAATAATATGTATGTACATATTGAGCAAACCGTATTACACAAATTTAATTGCAACTAATTTTTTTGGGCGGTTCAATTTAGTAGGTTATATCATTTTGTGTTTTATGTCGTTGTATTAACCGTAAATAATGACGATTGGGAAGCACCTTCCCTTCTATTACATATAATATCTGAAGTCAACACTAAACTAAATTATATACTATTGTTTTTGTGGACTATGTACATATCGTTTTTTTTTTTTTTTTTTTACTTTATTTCAAATAGGTATATTATAGGTAAGTATTTACAGGTATGTCTTAACAATATCGTTGGGCTTTTGAAGAATAATAATTGCCGTTGTGTTTATTACATTTTACGGGACGTTAAGAGCATAGTATTAAAACCGCCCAGATGACTCAGATTACAATGCAAATTTCGGAGTGTTCGGAGGTCATCGAGGAGGTGTCGTAAAACCGGTTGCTGGCGTCGGCGGTCGTGATCGATATCGCACAATGTGGAAGGCGCCTATCATAACAGCTATACCTACTGCACACGATAAGTACAGTGTATTATGCTATGTACATAATGTTATTATAGTAATATAATGTACACCCGCGGTTGAGCCTATACCCTGCGCGCTGTCGTTGAAGTCTGCTGCCGCCGCAATGGAGGAAGAAGAAAAAAATGTGCGCGCATTCTTTTGCGAAGGTTCAAAGTGAATATTCTTCGGTTTTTAACGACGCCGCTATCGTCTTAAGTCGTTAAAATAATGTATAAAATGCGTATCGACCGAAGCAGTAAATGCCATTAGAGTTATCGATAGCGTGTCGTGGATTTTAATTGCTCCAGAGTATCAACACGGTTGTTATTATTTTATTTCAACTTGTTTTAAGCGTTTACCATTTATACACAATCCTAATACATTATATACGAATGCGCCGTTACAGACTATTTAGTTGTAATAATGATTACTACACACAGTTAAGTCGACCGAAAGCACATAACATTACAATATAATTATTAAAAATTGTAAAGCCATAACAAGTGTATCTGTGTATGTGTTTATTGTTTCGAATATTATTTGAATCAATATAGTGCGTAGAACGGCAATCGGGTTTTTTAATGGTCGATATACAAATTGAAGTTTATTTTTCCAATTGTTACCGATGCCGGTCTTTGCCACTCGAACCGGCTGACGGAGGCCAATCGTTCTGTATGTACATGTACGAGTGGTCCATTTCAGGTTTGAAACAATATAACGAAAATTAGACAGATGACAGTTGCCAGAGGGTTAAAAAACAATGGTCGAGGGGGTAGAAACAACGGCGGGGTAAGATGTATAAAAAATAAAATTAAAAAAAATGAAATTTTCACTCGACCGTTTTATTGAAATGCGGTCCATTAAAAACCGATTGTTCTTCACGGTGAATTATACACGGTTTCGGACGTTATCGGGGAACATTTACAATATATACTGCAGAAACAAACGGCATAGAGGGTGTGTAATTGTGATTGCGATGCAATACAGTTTCGATTGTGCGTATGTACACGTTTCTTTATTATTATTTTTTTTTTTTTACATGTACACTCATATTATAATACGACATGTACGTGTTTTTTTAAAAAGCTTACCGTTGAGTGTTATGTAGGTATGTATATATACACCCTTTAATACAAACCAATCTAGTATATATTTATATTGCATTGGGCTTGGTCGAGTTTTATTTTAGCTAGGAATCTTTGTACTTAAATTAATATATACGTATATATTTAAAAATTATTTAGACGTTAGGGACTAAAACAAAAACATTCAACGCATATACAGTATTTTAAATCTAATTTTTATGCACGTTTTTAGCGACTGTGTAAAGGTATAAAGAAATTCTATATAACACACACGTATATATATATATATATATGGTCTAAGAGTCGGTCCAAAAGCCCGCGGTCGATCGAATAACTACGCTTCGGCTACATCAGACAAAGTGAAACAATTTTGTTTTTGTTTTTCGCACAATCCTATACATAGCTAAGGTTAAAGGTACTATGTGTGTGTGTATATATACGTACATAGAACTCTTGGACGACGTGAAACAAGGGTGGTGGCCGACGAGAAGACGGCGGAAGGAGAGCGACAGGCAAAAGTATATATCGTCGTCGGGATTTCCATTTATGTGTTGCAATATATATATATATATATATTGTATGTGTGTGTGAGAGAAGGGAAGAAAACGGAAGCCATCGTTCCGCCGTTTTTCCCCGAGTGCCGGAAATCCATTTTCTCTAATTGCTCTTGCTCGCGTTTCTCGTCGGCCTTTTGAAAAGGGCGCGCACAAGAGAAACCCAAAACGGTTCAGGGTTCTCTTCTAGGCGAGCAGGTCGCTCGGGGAAACGTCTCGACGCCCTTTCCTTAGCGCCGCCGACTTGCCCCTATACTCCACGTTGGTTTGTGCGAATCCGGCCGGGTTCGCAGGTAACCATACTACTCTGCACACAGCTACACACAAATTATTGCAGACCAAGTATAGGTGTGTGTGTATCACATTATATTATCATCGCTATCGTCTATTCCGCTTTGCCGGTGATTAATGATTTCGAATTCTGTGACGAACATATTGTTGTTGTACAGTGTTAGCTGCTGATCCTATACACACACCTTGTGTGACGTCATTACGGGGCCAGGTGGCGTGCCGGGGGTAATTGGGCCCCCGGGGGTCGATTCGCGTGACACGGCAGATGATTCTACATATTATACGTACTAAAACTATCGGCGGATAGCGATCAAATTAGCTGAAGGGATACAAATTACTAATCGTATATTATATTCGGGTAGTTCACCGAACGAATGATGGAGAGAAAAAAACGGTAAAAAAAAAAACCCAACTCGGTATAATTGCGAGCAAGTCGAAATTGACTTTGTAACGCGTCGGTGTGTCGTTTCTGAGCCTAATGAAAAACGGCCTCGTCTAATCAATAGCGATGGTTTTGGTGTACGGCGAGTGTGTCCTGCTGTGTTATTACCAAAAATACATATTATACAATAAAATAATATGTATATTAATCATTAATAATTTTATCATTGTTCACTAAAATATTCTATCAACCCGAAAAAATGTTTTGGATATTTTTTACTGAACTAACTTATCTATGTGTTTTAGGAATATCAATGGTTGAATACCCTACGTACCTACACATATTACCAATGGTTAGGTTAGGTATAACGGTATGTGCTATGTTAAGTGGTGGTGACTTAAATTTCAATTTTATATTTTCATAATATTTTACACAATATTTTCAAAATAAAACACTATTAAGTTTTTTAGAAAATCACATAACTACATACAATTATATAAATAAGAGAACTACCATTACTTTTTGTAAATTAAAAGTTATGTAGCAAAACGTAAAATTAAAATTGTATTTCGTTATTAAAATTTAAAATTCAAATACAAATGAATATATATACAGCCTAAATAATTTTTAAAAAATGTTCTGTTATTCGGAGTCATTTTAATCTTCAGCTGTTTTCATTGCAAACTATTAAGTATTAACCATATAATATAACATGTATTTTTATTGTGTTTAATGTACTACCAAATACCAATTGTATGAAAATATTATAACTAATTATTTGCCTCCAAACGAATATTTATCAACAATTCCAATTTTACTTATACACCGATCATGACGCAATTGCAATAGTAAAAGTTACTATTTAAATATGATTAACTTTATAATTTGTTTAATGTTTTGCTTGCAGACGATTTCGCTCTACAATAACTGCGTGACCTACTAATACTATAATATTGTTAATTCACGTTTTCATTGTATGCTATATTACCTTAAAACCAACATACACTGATAACATTGTAAAACTATTCATAGTAATTTTTTATTTTGTTTCTTTGTAGGAGAAAAATTTTAAATAGTATTAAAACAAATAAATATTGATGTATCTGGTTTGTTTATTAGTGCCAACACATATTAGTTATAATAAAATATATTACATCAAACTATAAATGAATATGTGTGGTGTGGGCTATGGCATTTTTGAAGTTTGAGAGCGATGATTGGAATTAACAATTCTGAAACAAAATAAAGCAAATATCAATATTAGTGTTTGTTTACATTTTAAATAATTATTATTTTTACTATTCAAAAAAAACACACGAAGTTAAACGCTAATTAAATTCCTGGTAATAAATTTATTTACAAGTTAGAAATATATATTTTATGAATATTAGGAAAACAAAAGTGGCTTAAAACATAATTTTATCAACTTATGTATTAATATTAATTTGGTACCTATCCCACAGAGGCGAGAGCTTTGAGTTAAATAAGTACAATATTTTCAAATTTAATTTTTTATTTTAAAATATATATTAAAAATGATATTTAAAAAAAATTGAATTTGTAGTACATGAAATATAAATAAACTATAAAAATTTAATTGAAAACATTGATAGATATAAAAAATGAATTTAGCTATTATCCTGTTCCCATAGAATCAATGACGATTGATTGTAGAACTAATATGATTAATTTATTAGTTTCTCAAAATAAGAAAGTATGTTTAAAATAAAAAATAATTATTGGAAATTTAACACAAAATATAAAATTTTTAATTAATAAATCAACAATTTTTAAATTTTATTAAATTATATTTTATTTTCATTTAGCTAATCAACATAAATAATAATAAATCCATAAAACAATTGATAATTTGAAAAGAATCTTTTAATTTATAAATAGTTATTTTAATTATTTGATCAAAGTTGTTTACTATAAAGTATATTGTATTATTGTATAATTTATTATTTTATTATTAATACTTTTATATTATAATTATTCTATTGATTAAATAAAAAATGCATTTAAAAATAAAAGAACATTTTTTAAATTTCAATAAATAATATTTTATAAATAATTATTAATACATTTAGTTTAATATTTATTAAATTTCAATAAAAAATATTATTAGAATATTAATAATACATAAAACATAAATTATTAATTTGAAAAAATCTTCAATTATTTGTTAAAAGTTGTTAAGATTAATTTATCTAATGTGTGTACTAAAATATAAACAAATCATATTGTATCTATTATTATTATTTATTATTCTGTTATTAATATTTTAATTTTATTATTATTCTATTGGTTAAATAAACAAGGCGTTTTATAAAAAAAAAATTATAATGTTGAATTTAATAAATATTTTAGACATCGCATGTTTTGTTAAAAATAATATAAATTCATTGTTTTTCAATATTAAAACATACCATGGCTTTGTTGGCGGAAGGTGCAGCCTTGGCTACGGTTTTGATGGCTTTGGCAGAGTTTACTTGTCCAACGACAACGATGTTCATCGATACTTTTTCAGCGCCCATTTTTGGTTTTTGTTGTTGATTCTTAGAGAACTTGAAGACTGTAAAATTTGAAGAAAAAAAAGTTAGTAATCTTATTGAGTATAAACAATTACAATAACAATGACATTATAGCGGTATACTACTCACCAAAGAATTAAGATGCACAAAAATTGTGTTATGCTAGATCTAAGCTTCGGTCTCCTATTTATATGCGTACGGGCTGCGATGATAACGTTTACTAAGTGGCGCGATAATATGGTGCTATGATTCTACGCCTGTGATAGGACGCCATAACTAGACGATAAGTGGGCCCACTAATCAAAGTCTAACGTAACGCAGAACGCATAGTTGTTATGAACTGAACATAGTAAAGTAAACTTTTTAATAATCTATATAATAATAATAATTGCTTGTTAAAAAAACAAATGTTACACATTTAAGGTACAAAAATTAAATACCATTTTCACGAAATGACGATTCTACGCTTGAATTTTTACAACTCACAACCGATTATATGTTTGTAAAGGCTTAAAACAGAACCCGCGTTAAATATAATTTATTCATAATAAAGTTATGTTAATAAGTGAAAAATAAAATTATAAAATAAATAGTTTTAGTATACTTTCAAGTTTCAAATGATTTATAGCTTAAGCTCTGGGTAATTAGGATCTAGTGATGTATTTTCGAATAAATGGGGAATATTGTGATACATTTTATAATGTATATTATTAATATACATGTTTTGCAAACAATAATTATATTGTTTGCAAAAATAATGATTAGTTTTAGACTCGTGTTTCCAATAATGTCATAGATGTTAATTCACTAAAAAGTTAACTAACAAAAAAGTTAAATGTTTTTATAAATATAAACTATAGTATTCTGGGTAAAACTACTGAACTATATCCAAATTGGTCAGTTAAAAATGCAAAACTTTTCTAAAACTATAATATAAACTATGTTCATATCAATAGAATGAAGTGCACATTGTATGGTATATATAATTGTTATATTTTACATTCTGTAAATATACAAACTATGCAACTATCACACTGTTGTACATGCAACAATTTGTTGAAGGAAATTTGTTACATCTATTGAACAATTTTACGTTTTCCCCATTCGGCTAAAGTCACCCCATTTTGCCCACAATTACCTCACTTAGGCCTAGCTATAGTATTATTAATCAATAATTTTTTTGTTATTAGAAAACGTTACAATATGATTTTTTAGCAATATTTTTGCCTACCGGTTAAAGTGACCGGTTAGACATAGCATATAGTGTATGCGAAATCGTGGCTATAACGCGTACGGCGTGTGTAGTAACAAATGATGGGAGCTCATGTCCATTTGCGGTGGTAGAAGAGCATAAGCAGAGGATTTTGAGTAAAATTGATGGTTTTTCCCGCTTGACGTGTGGGAGCTTAGCCTGAGATTCTCGCAATGTGAACTTGACGTGAAATATGAACTGAGATTCTACCAAAACCGTAGTGCGTCCAAATACGGTTAAGTATATAGGTATATAGCAGGTACTACGAGTTACCTACTATGTGGGTAAGCCTATTTAATAAAATAAAAAACAAAAATTCTTTAGAACGGTTCCCGTTTTGCTAAACCGTAACAATGTATTCCGTTAAATTTTTCAACTAAAAAAAATCTCAGTACTTTTTGTATCATTTCTTCTAGCCTTCACACAGTATATTAATCATTCACGGTCGAATAACGTTAGACTTAAATCTAATATATATATATGCAGATTATTGTATAGACACGTGCAAGTTGCAGCTTTTGCCTTGTATAACTAAGTTATCTATTCACTATTCAAGTAACACACAAAGAGGTGAGACCCGGCTGTAGATTAGTTTCTCAAAAATCATTAGTATAGTAATAAATACATAAAGGTAAATATTAGCTGGTAATTTTGTGTATATAAACTTGAGTTTATATTTTAGTCATTGATCATTAACTATAGTATATCTTTTCATCATAAACGTTTAATAATTGTATTAATTTGTATTAGTATTTATTATATTGTATAGTGTGGGCGATATAAAACGAAAGGTAAATAATGATATTGTCTCAAGGTGAACGAAATAAGATACAATAGTTTTCTAGTTCACATTTTAATTATTTTGCTTTTCATTAATAGTGGATTCAAAAATATATTACATGATTAGTAATAAGAATATATTATTATATTTGTTTTATACCTACAATTATTTAGTAGCAGCGATAATATGTATAAAATGTTTTAACAATGCGCATTTATTTATATTAATAGAGTCATTTGACATTGCATTGACTCTTTCTAGTCTTGTATAAATATTTATTTGTTATTTTATATTTATTAGAAATTAGAAACGAGTAAATCAAGAACGTTATTTTAAAGTAAACAATTCTTCTAATATTCATACGAGGCCCATGAAAAAATTGTTAATATTTACTTTTTTAAAAACTACAGAATGGGTATAACGTTATATACTTGGCTAGCTTTAAGGCCTAGGAAGTCTGTTACTCACAATTATTAATATACTCTAGATTACTATAAATTATAATATATACATTAATATTATATGAGTATATCTTTATAATAATTACTATTCATGAAAATAAATGTTCATAAGTTTAGACTTTAGAGTGGTGAACCGGCTTTTATAAAATATGTATAATAATGGCAATCTGTGCATGTTTATTTTTTTTGTTTAGAAAATAAAATAAAATGATGATTCAATAATAGTACATAGTCGGTACTCTTTTGGTTCTTATCTGTTTCAATTATACTATAATAAGTTCAATGTTTCATACGTATTGTGGTTTAATAGTTTGTTAATGATTTTGATTTTACAATTGAAATTTCTACAATAACTTATATTTTAATCTCACAGACTATAATTTATCGCATTTATTACATACTTTACAGGCGCAAAATAATTAGTATTCAAAATTTAAAGGGATTTGAACGCCGGGCTGTCATAAAAATAACGGGCAATTTTTGACGATGCGGACAAGACATTGAATTTCATAACTTTAATATTATTGTGTTTACTTTAAAAGAGGTTCGCTGTTTCACGGTTTGTCAACATAACCGATATAGTTATGCAATACCCAACGAAAATACCTAAGCTAATGGTCATCAACGCGGTGCGGTCTCCTTCGCAGGTCCTGCCATTCTTGCGCACGTTTACGAGTCTTTCCTTTCGGTTTTTTTTTTTCGATAATCTATACTTAACATACACACGAGGACCGGATAATAAATTAACTCGATCTGCTTGCGGACGCGGTTGACGTGGGTCCTTGTTTTCGTGTCGCCCTGTCGTCGTCGGACGGCGGCGTGTGGTGCTCTGTCGATCGTCAAAAACTGCGAAGGAGACAGTCCACGCCAGCGAGCCCACACCAGACCCTGGACGTTTCCTGTTTCTTCTTACAATCAGACGCCATCTATCGCGTAAGAACCAGGAGACGTCTGTTTCGAGATTTTATTATTATTATTATTTCGCTACACCCCCAATCCCTCTCCACCGCCAGTCACGTATACGTCTTTCTTGCAGTATACATAATATATTATGTTATATTATTATTTACAGGTGAACACAGCGACCCCAATTAAACGTCACAACAAGGACGACGTGTCGCCTCCGTCCGTATAGTTGTACCCGTGCTCGTGCCTGAGACAACACGGTGTAGTGTGTGTATTGTATTTTAAACAGGGTACTGTATTTTGGAATTAACAAACGAAAGACTGGTTTTGATAGTCGCTCATTGTCACAGATAATATATATAATGAACTAGATTGCTAACTACTGTTAAGAATTATTATTGTAGTCGACATCCGTCATTTTTGTGCGGGATTTATGTGTATATCAAATAATATACTTGTGATTCTGTCATCTGTGTTATCAACCTAACTTATAGTTGTTATGAATAAGATTCTAATTCCCACAAAGATTGCGGAAAATGGTTCAATTATCTCTATTGGCGGCATGTGCATTGTACACTTGGCAAACTAGTTTATTATCTGTGATCGCTGCGTTTGGCTATTGGGCGTCTAGGGCCTAGGCTGAAGCGACAAAAAAATAAAACCAACGGTTCTGCCGTCTTCGGAGCAATATAGATTATAATCCTGTTCCGTACACGACCGTTCCCAGAAGACGGCCAACCCTTTTGGTTTCCGATTACCGCAATCAAGTACGCTCGGTGTGTTGTTGGCCGATATTAATCAACACGATCCTCCCGACGTCACGGAACGATTTCACACGACCTCTACCGAACTCCAGTATAATATATATATATATACTGTGCCAATCTATAATATGTCCCTCCGGTGGTCGTTGCGCACTTCACACGGGTCGCGTGCCTGGACAATAAAAAAACAATAATAACACAACAACGACGGAGGCGCTATTATAGACAGTGACTGCGTACGAAAATAATAACATTATACGTATAATATACTATAACACATGCACTGCACGGCCAAATTTATCCAACGGCTCGTGGGGGTTGAAAAATGATTATTATTGATAGCCGAGGCCCCGTCAACGCGCCGACTAGGAAGCCAACGGTCGCGGCACGTGTCCGCGGGGTAGGTAGAGCAGCAGCAGCAGCAGCAGCTCGTGCACGCTGTATGTAGCTGCTAACACAGAAATAATAATAATAATAATTAACGCCGTATTGTTGCCGTGTGTCGCCCAAGAACAGCGTCACGTGGCGCCACCGTAAACAAATGATAACGCAAACGTGCGGCCGATGACTGAGCGTTTCCCGTATAAGTGCCAAATAAATGTAATGTAAACTTACCTATCGTTCACACACACACACCGTCGATATTCGCTTCGGTGGCACCTGTGAAAGCGGAATACTACTAGCCATCGTCGACGGGTGTAATGGAAATTATTACTTGTCACGTCTATCGTGTAAACAAAACAAACGAAAATCCTTCTTTTTTTTTCGACCTGTGCTTTTTCACACGGCCCGTTTCCGCCGTCGATTGCATTTTTTTTTTTTTTTTTTTATTAACCTCTTGTTCCGGCGGCAGTCGTCCGGAAGTCACGGGCCCTCTTCCTATCCGGACGAATATTACTACAATACCTATGTTTCCATCGCACCCATCATCGGGTCAAGGTATATATATATATTATACTATTATGTGTTGTTGTGGTTTGTTTTTTTTTTTGGTATTGTTTCTATCATCACGAGCGCCGGATAAAATATCACACGGTGTGCACTGCGGTTCGGTTATTAAAACTAATGGCTCAAACACCGCCTTTTTTTCCCCCCAG